GCTTAGCTCCCAAGGCTCACGTGAGTGGGGACTTAGCAGTCTCAGCTTGTGCCAGCTCCGGGACTGCTGCGCCTCTGCTTTTTAAATGTAGTAAGAGCTTCCTGGCTCTTATCCAGGCAGCTCTTACTGCATTTAAACCACAGAGGCACAGTGGGGGACCCTGCATGCCCGTCTCCTACTACATTTAAGCTACAGAGCCACCGCTGGGGTAGCAAGTTCCCTTATTGACTAATAAAATAGTCTATGGAAATTCTATCTATTACTCGATTAGCTAATTTAATGCTGTAATTTGCAACGGGGCAGTATGATCAAGTGAAGTTTAAATTTTTGTATTATAATTTCACTTAGATTTCTTAAATATTGAGTCTAAGCCTACAATTATCTTATTAATTTAACTGTGTTCACGTGAGATGTATTTAAGGCATTAATGCCTTTTCATTGATGGTTTGCACAATGAAGTAATATATTAATTACATTATTCTTAGATATGTCACTTGTTTAATACAATAACTTATCTGAAAAGTGCTGAATAAAAGCACTTGAATCCTTTGAGGGTTTCAGAGCATGTCTCTAGGAAGGTGGCATTTTAGCAAGAAAATGTACATTTTTATCATTTGTTTTTTCTAGGAGTCTAGCTGCCTTATTGTAACCAGTTACAAGCTCAGTGTTTGGTACTGCTCGTATTAGGATAGTATATTGAGGCCCAATCAAGATTACTACTTATCTGTAGTAGGGTAGAGCCTAGTGACCCACTGTGTTAGATCCTGTATGAACACAGAGCAGAACAGCAACTGCTCTGAAAAGTTTGTAATCTGATACATTTGAAATTAGTTATATAAAAAGTATATCTTGTATCTAGTGCAAGTGTATGACTTTATGACATCATGGTTAAATCTGATCAATAAACTGAATTATAGAAGCAGTACTAGTGATATGGTGTATTGTACTGTAACTGTTATCAGCATTACTAGGTCTCTAAACTCCTGCCAGATGTTAATCTAGCTGGAGTGGGTACGTTTTGATTTGTTTATTTCTCTGATTTTAAAGTTTATTCCGTTATACTCTGTGTACACGTACTAAATAGTCTTACACGGATTATTAAATAGCATTTTACTTTTAAGGGGTTTCAATGACGGATTTAGTAAGATACATTTTTAAAAAACAGGAAAGGGCAAAATAGTATTTACTGCATGTGGAATATTGTGCATGTTTTATTTTAAAATGCAATCTGAAATTTCTTATATGATCTGAGAAATAGATGTTCTTTGTAGTCCTGGAATTTTCAACATTAGGATCTGACATAGCTCCCCAGGTGTGTCTACCTGTATATCTTTATACAGAGGTAGTAGACAGAGGAAGTAACTAGAGATGGGTACAAATTATTGTAGAGGGAGTTGGAGGGTGACTAGAGTTATAGATATGTGATTTGTACTTTCAGCTTGGCAGATGAGTTCTAGTGGAAGAGAACTGGAGACTGGTATATCCTGTAACTCCCACAGAGTCCCAGTGGGAGGTACCAGGCATGCTGGAGATGTTACTCTTCTGATTAGCTGTCAACACTGCTGGGGTTGAAATGTCTGTTTTGGCCAACTAAAGGGAGTTTATATTCTAGCTCTAGGTATGTTCAGTTCTCAAGTGAAATTGGTATCTCTTGTTTACCCAATTATATAGCAGTGTTTTAGTGGATAATGTTTCCATTCATTTTGTTAATATTTTTAAAAATTGGTGTGACTAAATCCTTTGGTACGTTTTGTCATTCAGGGTGTGTCTAGACTACATGCCTCCGTTGACAGAGGCATGTAGATTAGACAGATCGGCAGGGGGAAATGAAGCCGCGATTAAAATAATCGCGTCTTCATTTAAATTTAAATGGCTGCCCCGCTCTGCCGATCAGCT